TCTGGGCACAGCCATAGCCCCAGGAGACAATTCCCTGGAGCTGTCCATTGCAGACCACAGGGCCCCCAGAGTCACCCTGGAGAGGAAGAAGGCGGGACAAGTTTTATAAAGAGAGAAAAAAGGGGTAATAGAGCCACATGCAATCTGAACATTAAAAGACCCTGTTCAGGTCATCCCTGTGGCTCCACATCCTTCTCATGGTGGCCCATTCTTACTTAGGAGACAACATGCCACACAAACTACCCTTCCACACTTCTCCACTGGACCACTGCACGGAGTCCCCTCTGTCAGCCCCACAGCCTCGGTGTTCAAGTCCCCCTCCCAGGTGGGCCTTGTGGATGGGCAGGGGTCTCAGCCAGCGAAGGGTCCAGTCACCTGGCAGGAGTCCTTGCCTCCCTCCAGGAAGCCGGCACAGACCATGTTCTTGGTGATCTCCCCAGGGTAGGAGGCCTCGCACTCAGCCTGACTCAGCAGCGGGGCTTCCAGGCACTGCAGCAGGTCTGGGTAGTTGCCTGTGGGGAGTAGGAAGAGATCAAGGAAAGGAGAAATGGGGGTCAGACCAGGATGGGCCACAGTAATCCAGTGCCAAACACCGAGGGCAGCCAGGAGAGGACCCCAGGAACGTAAGCCTCAGCAAGGAACAGTGGATTTTAGTTTCCAGAATGATCAGTGTTGAACCCCTCCCTAGAAGTGATCATAGCAAGTGTGTATTTGTCCTGTCTTTGGATTCAAGGGGTCAACTCCTTAAGACTTTGTGTCTCTCTGGTACCTAGCTCAGAGCTCTGTGTGTAGCGGGCACTTGATGTTATCTGTAGACTGGAAGGAAAGGGTCCAAGCCCAGGGGCATGCTTGGTTGTGAGCAATGTGGGAAGTCAGAGGGTGAAGTAGTGAGGGTCCCACTCACTGCCAGAGCTCAGGGTGTTGCCCCAGCCAGAGATGAGGCACAGGGTGCCAGCAGGAGCACTGGCCCTGGGCAGGGAGATGGAGGACACCCGGGCATTGATGACTGCAGGCGAGGCGAGCTTAATCAGCAAGATGTCATTGTCCAGGGTCCAGCTGTTGTACTTGGGGTGGCGGATGATCTTGGCCGCGTTGATGAACTGTTCGTTCCCTTCCACGACTTCGATGTTGTACTCTCCTAGTCTCACCTGGATGCGGCTGTTGGGAAGGGAAGCACGGTGAAGGCCCTTGCTCCACTCCCCACTTTTCCCCAGGGCTCTTGAGCTTCCTGCTCACGGGCGGGGGTGTGGCAATATCACAGGGCTGGAGGGGTGGTGGGTCAGTGCAGGTGTGAGACCAAGAACCTTTCTGCTTCAGAGGTAGTTGGTGGTGGAGTAAGGATGAGGTGAAGGGATGCAGTTGGGGATCGCTCCTCAATCTGCCTTCCCAGTGCCTTTCCCACAAGCCCCCTCTTGCATCCAGTAACATGGGCATAAACAAGCTGCTTGAGTTTCCCTGGAAATTCTTCATCCTCCACAACTTGCTAATCGCATGCAGTGACTTTGACTCCTTCCCTTCCTGGTCTGGTAAGCAGCATCATTCTGTATGATCTAACCCAGTGGGTCTCAAAGTGTGGCCCCAGGACGCGCAGCCTCAGCATCAGCTGGGAACTTCTTAGAGATGCAGACTCTCGGTTCACATCGCAGACCTGCTGAATCAGGGACTCGGGGTCGGGGGGCAGAGACCCCTGTTTCAGCAGGTCCTCCAGGGGATTCTGCTGCACACTCAGGTTTGAGAACCTCTGGTCTAGGCAGTGATTCTCAGCTCTACCTGGAGAGTAGACTCACCAGAGGGAGAGGGCATTAAAAGCTCACCGATATTCAGACCCTCTTCGGGAAAATTCTGAGCTAATTGCCCCGAGACAGGACCCAGGCATCAGTATTTTCTGAAAGTTTCTTAGATGCTTTTAATGTGTGCCCAGCTGGCACGGGTTACTTGTGTATAGTCCTTGCCTATTTTCCCATTAGGCCTTACCACCCCAAAACAGTCCCTCCCTGCTTTTACACTCCACAGCCTTGGCTGTTTTATCCATTTGTTTGGGGCGTGATGGGATTCCTGTCCTGTGCCTCCCTTCACTTGAGTCACCTGCTGGTTGACAACCTCTCCATCACATTTCCCATCTGTCTCACTCAACCCCAGAACTCCTCTGCACTGACCCCAGGGTCCTGAGCAGTGGGCTTTGCAGTCAGGGGCCCAGCACTTACGATTTGTAGCAGTGAGCCGCGGACACCACCCACTGGGCATTGATGAGGGAGCCACCACAGAAGTGGTAGCCAGAGTTCAGGGACACCTGGTAGGGGATGGAATTCTCCTCACAGGTGTAGCCCCCGACGATCTTGTCATCATCGTCAACGGGGAAAGCAACTTGAGTGGAAATAGGAAGAGAGAAGACCACTCAGCAGGACGTTGGAGGGTGGGGTCCAGAGTGCTGTGGCTGCATCATGCTAGTTAGGATCCTTCACAAGCCCAGTGATGATAGACAGCAGCAAGGGGGCGCTACCATCCCCAGTCAGGATCACAGGATGTGTGTCTCCTGAGTCTCTCTGTGTGTCTGCAGGGCACGAAGCTAGGTGCCCTGACCTGCTCAGACTCAGACCTCTACTGGAGCTGCCAGGGCAGGGATACCAGAAATGCTCTCACAGTGCACTCAGTGTGATTCCAGTAGGAATGTGGTTCTTTAGCTCACTGAATGCTTCTCTCTCTTTTTCATCACTGATCTACTCCCTGTGGCTATTTGAGCCCAGATTGTCGGGATAGGTTGCCTAGCTAGCAAAATCTGGCTAAGTAGCCCTGGCTATATCCAGCTTCTCTCATAGCTCAAATCTGCGCAGCGAGGCCAAGGAGAGCAGGCCCATGAGGCAAGACAAAAGTAGGCACAATTATTGGTCAATAGAACAGTGACTCTCGACCTTGGCTACACACCTGGGAATCTTAAAATAGCCTGAGATGTTTAAAAATTCAGTGCAGAGGCCACACCCCAGACCAGTTAAATCAGAATTCTAGGGCTAGGGCTCTGGGGTGAGTAGTTTTTCAACCTCCCAGGTGCATCTGAGGTTAAGAACAGCTATGAGCTTACCAAGAGCTGTCACAACCAAGTCTTTTTAAGACCACCGGTTCATTTCATGGACCGTGTCCACCTGGTCTCCCTTTCCAGCCTCTCCAAACAAAGGCCCGATATGGATGAATGGTGGGGCTGGGAGTGGAGTCAGGCAGGTGAGAGGTGAGGCTTAAAGAGAACCCAAGAATGGAAGGAGGGGTGCTAGACAGGAAATGGACTATCAGAGCCCAGGCCAAATCAGAGCAGCAGCAAGAATGGTGGAGCATGTATCTCCACCAGCAGAGGGGGCCGGTGGGGCATGAAGCAATGCAGGCAACTCACCAGCAGCTCCCACAAAGGCAAGAACCAGAAGTGGATTCATGGTGGTAGAAGTATGACTGAGTGGGTGGTGGAGAGCCTTTATAGCTCCTACCGTGAGGGAGCGGGTGCAAGTGAGGGCAGAGGGTCGCTGCTCTGCCCAGGACAAACACACCTGCAGCTTTCCCCTTCCCAGGGTCTTGCATCAGCTTGGCTATATTTAGCAGCTCTGTGGATTTGTGACCTACAGGTGATAAGGAAACTTACCTTCTGAGGGCAGAGAGGAAGACCAGCTGATTCTTGGAAGGATTTTGGGGTGGGGAACACAGGGGAAGCCAAGCACCCACATATCACAGCTGGGCCTTCTGAAGCTGAGGAGATGAGGGTTGGGAGGAGGATTAATGACCTCAGCCCCTGGAAATCCTCTGACCTCATGGAGATTTACTTCACTTCCTTTAAGGGAGGGCTGATACGGGTGGTAAACTTTGCTGCTCCTGGAGCCCCCTAAGAGGAAAGTAGTCTTGTCTAAGTCTTATATCTGTGAGCATGAAGACCCTTCTCTTGAGTCCAAACCACTGGGCAAGGTCAAATCCAAAGCTGTGGGGAACCAGCATCCCAACATCAAGAGGTGATGAGAAGGGAGAGGCAGCATTCCTCGGGAGTCAGGGCTTTCAGCTGGCTCGCCTTCCTACGAGGGCATGTGGAGGGAGAACGTTTGGAAGGAGGAGGGGGCAAGAATTAATTAGGAGCTTACCTGATAACATTTGGGGACAGAAGACCAATACCACATTCCTCCTCTTCCTCACTATCAGGACATTAGTCTTTCTCATCACTCACACTGTTATAGGTTCTCTTTAAGCAGCCTTGTGGTTGCCCTGGGCATCTGCATTAGCAATCATGACAATTGACCCCACCTGCTAGGACCTGAAAGCCCGAGCTAGCATTATATGCTCCAGACCAGATATTAGAAAGGGTTGGACATTGGTAAATTCGGATTCTGATCAGAGAATCAGCCGTAGGTAGAGGGATTTGCACATTATGGTAAAGGTGTCGAGTATTGGGTGATCAATTACAAAATTGGAAGTGGGAGAATTCTGGAATTTTCTATTTTAGAAGCAGTGGGACTGTTGTGCTAGGTTCAGTACAGAGTTAATCTTTCCAGAAATGATCTCAAATTGGGACCTGCCACGGCCAACCAAGACACAGCTCTGTAATTTATTGAGGCCCAATCTGGCCAGAGGGGTATAGAGATAGAACTAGTGTCTATCTCGAGTCTAATTATGTGAGCCAGGTGGGAGAACCCTCTTATGAAGAGATTCTCCTTTTCAGGGTTGATGAGGGGCAGGAGTGAGCAGCTCCTATGTTTGAATTCTTTGAAAGGAAAAAATGAATAAACGTTCTGGAAATGGTCAATAAAGTGAGAAAAACTCAGAAGTCTGGTGGTGAGACAGGAGGTAAGCTGGATAGATGGAGTAAATAGAAGCTAGAGTAAGTTGGGAGAAATTCAATGTGGACTCATGGGGTTGAGAGGGACCCAGAGGGTGTCTTCCGGTCCAATGCCTGATATGGCTGGAAGCCAGCTTCTCAACAGCAGGAGACCCACTGCTCAGAGGGCTCCCCTCTCCTCACTGTACACTGTCTGATCCATGATGGGTTCCTATTTAGGTGGGAATATTGCTGTATTTGTACAGCGCCTGACAGCTTTGAAAGAGCTTTCACACACACAAACAACAATGGTATGCTGATTTTCATGTGTGTTGAGCTTCATGTTTAACTTTTCACAAATGTTTTAATTGTGAGGTATGCAGAACAAAATTATTTCCATTTCTAGAGGATGAGACTGAGATTTAGAAAGGTTCTGTCTTGCCCGAGAATACAGATCTAAGAATGGCAGAGCTGGCCTCAATGCCTTGAGCCTTTTAGGGACACATGGAAAGTGTAGTGAAATGTGGGAACTGCTGCAGATGGCATCTAAGAGGGTTATTGGGGACCAAGCCAGGACAAACTACATTCTGATGCCTCCTGATACTTGTCTCCGGGAAGAAATAGAAGACTGAATTAATCTCCCACCTGGCACCTGGTCTCAGAGCCTCACCTTGCCATTGCCTAGTAATTGAGGCTTTAATGTTATCTAAAGATAGACTGGTTCCTGTTTGAACAGTAGTAAGGCTCTAGGCCACATCTAAGGCATGAATGACTCACCTCTCTCTGCTCACAGGTAGCTGACCCAGCTTGTGGAGCCTCGATTATAGGGGCTTTTTCTGTAGTGTCACCAAAAATGCTATTTTGTTTTGTCCTCTTGTTGTGGGGTCTTCACAGGAGGTTCTGTTTTAGAGGCTGAAGAGACTCTTGCTGCAGATACCACATGACCTGGACAGTTATGGGGAGGTGATCCTGGGTAGAAGATAGGAAATTACTTTGGGAAAAGGGAGAAAATTGTTGGATTGGTGCTTGTGGCTCTGACTCTGTCTAAAAAGGAACATCCAAGAGCTTGGGGATTTTCTGTGTCTAAGCCTTCAGACTAGCCTTCTCCTGATGTGTTGTGCTCCTCCTTAGAATAAACTACCACACCCACAACATCGTATGAGGTCAGTTTTCTTCAAAGTAGCAGGAATCACCTCACAGGCAGAGAAGGTGGAGACCGTTCCCTCATACTCTAGGCTTAGATGTGTAGGATGGATTTAGGTCCACATTTGGCCAAATTCAATTTGGATGAGTCTATGCCACTCTTGATAATCTTTATGAACTACAGATTCCTTTGTCTATTTCTTTAAAACATTCTCCTAGTTCATATTTAGTGTTTAGCATATCCAACCACTGTCTTTTAATTATGATGATAGTGAATAGTTTCTGTGTAAGTCTTTCCTAGACCATCTTTTGCTTTCTTATCACAACCACCTATTATCACAACTCTATTGCCCTTTTATGGATGACAAAATGAGCTTCCCAGAGGTGAAGTCACTTTCTCACACTCCTACAGCCAGTTAAGTTGTAGAGATGGGATGTAAGCATGGCAGTCGGACTCCAGAGCCTCCACGCTCTATCATAGAAACTTCTGCTTCCCTTCCTCTTATCTGATCTCCAGTGCAGCCTCCTGAGGTAGGCAGGAGATTCTATTTTCTCCTTTTTACTAATGAAGAATCTACAGCTCAGTGGTTAAGTGACTTCTTCAATGTCACCTGGCTAAGGAATGCGGGAATGACACCAGAACCTTTCCCTGTTCAAGCTAAGTTCATTTCTCATCATGTTGCTAAGCCTGGAGTCTTTCAGACCTCCCAGTGATCTGAAAATAGATTTTTGTCAGATTCCTCCAAACTCCCAGCTCCTTTTCTCCTCCACTATTTTTTTCTAACTTTTTCCCCATGACACAATTTCTCTTTATCCAATAGTAACTATTTTCTTGACTATCTCAGCGTTGGAATCACTGAAGCTGCATAGTTAAGGGGGACTCTGTGTGATTCAGAAAAACTGAAGAGGGAGACAGAGGCATGGAGGCATGGACTGACTGGTCAAGGCTGGTTGGCTAAATGGAGTAGCTTGCTGCTCCTCCTCACCCCCCCTCCAACTCCCCACCTTGAAGCCAAGGAAAACAGGCAGTTTTATGCTCAGAGGGAAGTCCATCTGCATGTTTTATCAATTCTGCAAGCTTCTGTAGAGGGATGAATGGGGACATCTTTAGCAATTGAGGCTGTAACGTTATCTGAGGATAGATTGTTTCTTGTAGTGTAATGGTCTTTCTGTTCACATTTCCATCATTTCTTGTGCTATCACTGGCCTATTAGAGCTGTTTAAGCGACTCCAGAGTCTGCTGGAGAGTAAGCAGAAGAAAGCCAGGAAAGAGTCCGGGAGGAAAACCTATGTGGGCTGTTATTATTGTAGCAGCCATGACTTGTTCCATGTTACTCAGAGCTTGGTAAGTGACATTTGTTTCTTTTGGATTTATTTGTCTAAATTATATTAGCTCCAGAATGAGTCCCACAAGCCCAGTTTGGTGATAACACCTGACAAATAAAAATGGCAAGCAATAGGATATATTGGAGAATATGAGGAAGCCATTTGGTATAAACCTAATTCTGCCTGACCTTGTCTTTCCAAAAGGGCCTGACCGGGGCCGTTGAGCATGCATTGTATATCTGCTTTAGAGATTCCCTATGGCAAGAGCAAAAGGCCCTTGAGATAAAGGTGCAACTTCCCTCCCCTTCCCAACGTTGGCGTCTCCTTAAGGATTAAGCATCTTTCCTTAGGCTAGAAACTGACTGCTGCGCTCACCTGTGACCGCCCAGCTCCAGACAATCGACTTGCCTCCTGCTACGCCCATCAAGATAGCAGACCCACTACCTGCTTGTATCCATTGAGCGCTGTGCCGACAGGGCAATCTTGTGACTATTGTGGAAGGGACATTTCAATCATATGTAAAGCACCCTCTTTGGGGGTATATAACCACTCTGTACACCTCATTTCTTTGGTGCCCTTTCTTCCTTTGGGAAGAAAGGCCCCGGGCCATGGTCCTCAGATTTCATCTCAGAATAAACTCACCCAAATTTTCATTTACAGATTGGTTATGGATTATTTTCATCGATATCCCAGTCAGTCAAGTGTACTCCTTCCACGCATTTGGCTTATAAAAACTCTAGACTCTGTTGTCCATTTGGAATCATCCAATTGGTCAGTCCACTTCCTGTAGGCCAACCTGTCCAGGAGGATCTTCAAAGGCTCCCAAAGTTCAGAACTGAGTGCTCCGTCCACATGGGCACTGACAAATAAAAATGGCAAGCAATAGGATATATTGGAGCATATGAGGAAGCCATTTGGTGTAAACCTAATTCGGCCTGACTTTGTTTTTTCCAAAAGGGCCTGACTGTGGCTGTTGAGCACGCATTGCATATCTGCTTAGACATTTCGTATGGCCAGAACAAAGGCCCTTGAGGTAAAGGTGCAACTTCCCCCGACATTAGCATTTCCTTAGGGATAAGCATTTTTCCTTAGGCTAGGAACTGATTGCTGCACTCACCTTTGACCACCCAGCTCACCTGTGACCACTCAGCTGGAGACAACAGACTACCACCCTGCTGTGTTCACTGAGACAGAAGACCTACCTGCTGTTTCCATCAATCCCTGTGCCGACAGAGCAGTCTCGCAACTATTGTAAAAGGGACATTTCAATCCTATGTGAAACATCCTCTCTGGGGGTACATAACCACTCTGTGCACCCCACTTCTTTGGTGCCCTTTCTTCCTTAGGGAAGAAAGGCCCCGGGTTATAATCCTCAGATTTAAGCTCAGAATAAATTCACCCAAATTTTCATTTATAGATTGGTTATGGATTATTTTCGTCAACAGCACCAACACAGTTCCAATTTGAGGACCGTCCACTTCAGGGCCACTGTGTTTGAGCAGGTTCTGGAATTACCTCAATAGAACCCATAACATCTGTTCCCTTTCCAAGCATTGGGGAAGGCAGCAGAGCCAGCTGGCACTTGTTGTTGGGCCACTTTTCTATTCAATTATAAAGATTGAAGTGTCTGTTCCCTTTCTGTTAGTACAAGCTGGTTCATTTCCTTATGGGCTTACACTGTCTAAACTCAAATGCCTTTGTACAGTTTTTCTCTAGGGAAGTCCACACTGCTTGGCAAATTTTCCTCTTTTTTTCTGAATTGTATTTATTTACTCAGTATTAGCTGGCTAGGGCTGCCATAACAAAATATCACAGACTGGGTGTCTTAAACAACAGAAGTCTATTTTCTCACAGTTCTAGAAGCTAGAAGTCCAAGATGAAGGTGTTGGCAGGGTTGGTTTCTCCTGAGGCCGCTCTCCTTGGCTTGCAGATGGAGTCTTCTCACTGTGTCCTCACAGGGCTTTTCCTCTCCGGGTACTTCCTTGATGTCTCTCTTTTATGTCCTAATGTCTTCTGATAAGGACACCCACTGTATTCGATTAGGGCCCACCCTAATAGCCTTGTTTTAACTTAATTAGCTCTTTAAAGACCCTGTCTCCAAATACAGTCACATGCTAAAATACTGAGATTTAGGACTACAGCAATTAAATTTTGGAGGAAGGCAATTCAGTCTATAACACTCCATAAACATGTACTGAATTCCTATGGTGTTCCTGCAGTTTTTCTAAGCTGTAAGGAAACAGCAATGAAGAAAATAGGAAAGGTCCTTGCTTTCACGGCGTTTATGTTTACTTGTGTGTGTCTCCACGCACATGTGAGAAGGTATAATGATAGGAGGCAGACAATAAATAAGAATATATATTAATGTATGTATAGAACATATATTTCAGACAATGGTGATTAGATGTTATTAAAATAAGATAAAGTGATAATGGATGTGAGTGACTGGTGGCTGGGTCGACCAGTGCTATATTAGGTGAGGTCGTCAGAAAGATCTCTTTGGGGAAACGATATGTGAGTGGAGACCTGAATAAGAAGGAGCCTGCCATGTGAAGGTGGGGTTAGGAGGGCTTTCATTATTCGCTGCTGAGTCTATAACAGAGTCAATCGACACACACAACCATTGCTTTTTAAATTAAATAACCATGTCATCCAGCATATGGACATTTACCTTGCCATTGGATTCGATTATACAAACTGATATATACAGGATGGTCATCAGTACATTGAACTATTCTTCTAAAAGTTAGTGTAATGTATATTTTTGACATGAAATGGTATTTATGAAATATTGCTGGGTTAAGAGAATAAATTATAAAACAGCATGTATCATTTGATTTAGCTTTATTTAAATGAGTGATTTTAATTTTCCTCATTTTAATTATCTATGCAGTATATAATAACATTCATTTATTTTGAAATTAAAAGAGCTAAAATAAGGAGAAACAATTGTAATAATAAGATTTTCCCAGAGAGGGCTATTCCTAATCTTGAGGAAGGAATTGCTAATGGTAAAATTTCATGGATTACAGTGAGAAATAACTTTAGGTCATAGTGTGTCTTGTCTCTGCCAGGCACAGTGTTATGTGCTTTGTAGGAATGATCTGTTCTCATCCTTATAACAAACCCTCATTCTCATTTTTTTGTTTCATTATTGTCCTTATTTTACATATGAAGATATATATAAAGAACTTGTGTAATTTGTTCAAGGTTACACCCAGTGATAAAGCAGTTTTAACCTCAGATCTGCCTGATGACAGAGTTCAAGTTCCTAACTGTGGTGCCTTACTGTTTCTGAGGAGAAAATTGTGCTGTAATATAGGAAGGTACTCGCAATCCAAGGCTTATCTGTAAGTGAATTTGCCAACTTCTTAGGGAAATGGGAACATGAGGCAGGAAGGAAGCTAGCACTGGACCCATTAGATCAAATGGGCCTCATCTGATGCATATGGATCCCTGTGGCTAAGAATCAGGATGTGTGGAAACTGGGCAAAACCTGCTGGACCCTGCATGGGACTAGCAGGCAGATGGGAAGTGCTCCTTTAGAAAGCCGGGACACAGGAAGAGCTACCCACGTAGCGAAAGGGCCAACGAAAAACCCCACGGGCAGTTAACAAGGAATATTATATTTTTGGATCTTGGCTTTGGGCAGAAGAATAAAAAAAAGTTTCCTCTGAATATTCATGACGACTGAGTAGTCAGCCCCCTCGGGTTTGGGACAGACACTATATGGTCAAGAAGATACACTCTGAGAATTATAAGATAAAGTGATATCAAGTCTGTTGTACCCCAATTGCTGACAGAGGTGAACATAAATATTTTCTGGAAAACCCACCTTTAGTCTGGGATTCAAGGAATTCCCAAAGGTGAATTCATAAAATCAAATTATACAATGCACAAGGAAGTAAGCCACCCTGAGTGAGAGTCAGCAACAATTACAAAGAAGAAAACCAGATGCAAAATGTCCTCAGATGTTGGCATTGGCAGATAAAAATTCCAAATAGATGTTTAATATCCTAAAGAAATAAAATCATTTAAAAATACACGAGGAACGAGATGCTTTCAAAAATGACCACTCGTATTTGTAAAAGACACAAGTAGGTTTCCTAGAAATGAAAATTAATATAAATAAAAATGTCAATTGAAAGGTTAAACCGCTTATTGTAGCTGAGGTATGAGTTAGTAAACTGGACAGTAGGTCTAAAGAAATTACCCATTATGCAGCACAGAGAAGCAAAAAGGGAAAGTGTGAATGAATGGTTAAAGAGTCAAGAGGGTTGTGTGAAAGAAAGTTGAATGCAGGCTAGATATATACTTCAGGCCGCCTCTCCCATGAGATGTGAGCAACCAGATTTAGGAGGCTTAAAAGGAATGAAGTTCTGGCCCTTGAGAAGATTTCCCTTCACCACTACCCTTCAGAACCACACTTGTGTTAGACTGTAATGATCATTCCAGAATAAAGTGCAAACTTATCCAGAATATAGGCCCCTGCTTTTTCAACTGGAAATAGGGAATTCCCATGGAAGCTTGCATGTGGATTGAGGGTAAGGGGAGTGGAACAGGTGTGTGTAACAAGAGACCGAGACTTGCTCTTGGAATTGGATTGTGCCTTCTTCCAGGGATGTTTGAGTCTGCTCTTGATAATCCATTTTCCACTTAATGACAGAAAACTCTGTGCATGTCCAGCTTTACAGTTTTGTGGATTAGATACCACCCAGTTCTGAATGCCATGATGAGGCATTCACTAAAGAGCTAGAAGCGGCTTTTCAAAGGAAGAATGGTTGTTGGCAGGTAGAAGACAGTATGGCCTTCCATCAAGACTCTTTGCATACGCCTTGTGATTCTCTTATTGGGGTATGCCAGGGGCTCCATAGAGCCTCTCTATCTGCCACAGGCACTTCAAGAACCACTGAGTCTGCTTCGTCTGTGGCCCAGGTGGCAGGGCAGCTCTCATCACAGCCTTGTTCTGCTACAGAACTCTCTGTCACACTGGCCCAGACTTACAGATTACACATGAGTGGACCAGAATAGTACCCCCCAACTGTAGTATATGTTAACTCTAAAGTCCAGAGAGGCCCGCTATGGATTGCTCTTTTTTCTCCATGGCAGATGATATAAGATGAGCAGCTTATCTCTCATTTTAGAGGGAATATTCCAACACTTTTGGACTGCTCAAAAGCTCACCAGTGTGGCAGGCCCCTGAACTTTTGCAGATTTTACATTGGTCTGGCATGCATATGTCAAACTGAGGCATCTAGAGTGTTTTATAATTTCTATTCACCATGAACAATCAGCATAATGCCATCAGTGAAATGGACCAGTATGACTTCAAGATGAATAAGGGCCTTCTGAACAGAACAGGCTAAGCATAGCCTTGAGATAAAATAGTTAAAGAGTATTTCTGGCCCTGCCACTTGAAGGCAAACTGTAGTATCTGATTATCTTTACTGAGTAATACCAAACACTCATCTGGAAGAAACTTCATCCTCAGCCTCCTAGTAGCTACTCTATCTGTCTGTGGATGGAGCCCTCCAGTTAGCCTTGCAAATTCTCTCCCCATCTCCAGCCTACCCATTTGTATCCATACTCACCCACACAAGCAGCTGTCTGTGCCTGAGAGCTGTGGTTTCCTCTCTCCTGCCTGCCTTGATGGGGTCTTCAGGCTCATCTGGGTGGGAGCTGGGTAGGAGGGAGCTCCAGTTTTTGCTCAGATCTTTGATCTGTGCCCAGCACTGTGTCTCCAGCGCTGCAGAAGTAAAAGCTGCTGTCTTCCGGGCTTGTGTTGTTCACAGTCAGAGTTGAGAACCTTAGGGTTGGACGGCTGATGGGAAATTTGTCCTTAGTAAATCCACTTTCATAAGTGGCCTCAGAGCCCTGATTCGCCGTGGCAATCAGTGTCAAGCTCTGTCCTGGGAGCTGACTGTACCAGAACATTAAGGTGAGTTCGGTATCGACCTCACACTGAATCTTCATGGTGGTCCCACGTTGACAGATGGCCCTGCTTGGCTTTTGAGAGAGGAGAGCACCGAACACAGAGCCTAGTTCCAGAGAGACAGAGAAACCCATGAAGGCTGACAAGCTTGTCTCTAGGCAAGAAAGTTTCTTTACTATTTACTTCTTTACTACTTACTTCTTTACTATTTACTATTGGCTCCTGAAGAACCTTGTAGCATTACCTCTAGTTTGTTCTGCCAACCCTCATGCTGTCAGAATCCTCTTATCCAACATCTTCCCCTCATCCTCCGACTGGTGACCCCAGACCCTCTACTCATTTACTCAGCCTTAGCATTAACCCCAAGCTCCCCACTGGATAAGGCTCATACCTAGTTCCAGGAGAAGTAGCAGAAAAGTCAGCATCTTTAGGTGATACCCTCTCACTTTCCCTGAGAAAAGTCACTAAGAAGTCAAATTCAAGTTCATCTTTCCTCCCCACTGTGTAGTTCCTTCCCTACCAGGTCTGTTCCCCTCCTGCAGTAGGAAGTTGAGTTTCTGCAGAATATGGAGAAAATTAGTCTGCCCTCTAGTGGAGCTGTGTGGCTCTTCATTCACAAGGCATCCACGCAACTGCCTTCCATCCGCCATGTGTCCACCAACTTCCCATCCCTCATTACTGGGCACCACATATGAGCAACCCTTTCGGTATAAAGCAAGAATGGGATGCATTATTGAGCTCACATAACTAAAGGTAACGTTTCAGAATAGACAGAACCTTATGACTCAGCATTTCAACTGTCTGCTGAGTTTCCACTGTGATTGTCCCAAACCGAACTCATTATTCTTCCCCAACACATACTCCAGTAAACTACTTCCTGCTTCCAAATTCCTCCCTCCCAATAAAGAGTATCCCAATTCATTTGGTTCTCCAGACTCAGACATCATCTTTATTGCCTCTTTTCTCCTCACCTGCCTCACTTATCAATTCACAATTTAAGTACACTTTATCTTTATTGTCTCTCATATCTCTTCCCTCATTTTGGTCATCACAGTCATAATTATTTGCTTCCTCTTTGCTTAATCCCTGGACATTTGTAACAAGGTTTCTTCTATTCTAATTCAGCTCAATATGGACTATAAAACAGATCATCACTCTGTAAAATTTGACCGCAGTGCTATAACTCTTTTTCTATCATCCGACTGTTTTCCTCCATCATGTAACTATCTGAAATAGTTTATTCTGGCGTAAAAGCTGAGCTAAAATTTTTTGAGCACTTACCCTGTGCTTTATATGTATTATTTCAGTCTATCTATAAATTAAGATACTATTATCCCATTTTTACAGATTAGGAAATTTTACGGATAAGACATAAAGACCTTTTTTGTTTTTCTGCTTTGTCTCCCTCTCCACCCCCAGTACATAGTTGTATATCTTAGTTGCAGGTCCTTCTAGTTGCAGCATGTGGGACGCTGCCTCAACGTGGCCTGACGAGTGGTGCCATGTCCTCGCCCAGGATCTACACCGGCGAAACCCTGGGCCGCCACAGTGGAGTGCGCCAACTTAACGATTCAGCCACCGGGCTGGCCCCAGACATAAAGATCTTAAATAACCAATCCAACTTCACATAATGTAAGAGTAAGTGACAGAGGCAGGACTCAAATCCATGTCTATGTAACCCCAAAGCCCAAAAGTCAACATGAGGACCATTGATTGCCTTACTTTGCCATTGCTCAGGTCTTAGTGGAGGAGGATCTGGTGGATGACTGAGAATGACATAGAGGCCTGACACTCTAAAGGAAACAGAGACTCTAGAAAGAAATTCTTGCAAAACAAAACTATATTTCCTTGATTCTGAGATTCCATCTACTATAAGATGCGTTATTAAAAACATAATTGTTAATTATGGTGGTTAATACTACTACATTAGAAATGAGCATTGATTATAGGATTTACTGATATTTCAGGAAATTAAACTGTGAAAAACAAATTACCTTGGGGCTGGCCCTGTGGCCGAGTGGTTAAGTTCGCATGCTCCGCTGCAGGCAGTCCACTGTTTTGTTGGTTTGAATCCTGGGCGTGGACATGGCACTGCTCATCAAACCACGCTGAGGCAGCGTCCCACGTGTCACAACTAGAAGGACCCACAATGAAGAATATACAACTATGTATCGGGGGGCTTTGGGGAGAAAAAGGAAAAAATAAAATCTTAAAAAAAAAAAAAAACTAATTATAAGATAGGAAATTTATACCTTTTGTATACTGGTAAAATATATGGAATAATCCCATCTTTCTCGACATGCAGTGATACGTTAAAATTTTGTAGTCAAATATATCAACCTTTTTTCCAAAATAACCCCAAATCTTTTTCTATTTCATTAAGCTTAAATCCTTCTGAAATCACCAAATGACCCCTATTCTTCACAAAATTCCACATCTTTTCCCCTTTATTGGTATTCTCCTTGTTCAAAACAATAGCAAGGATATTCTTCTTCCTTTTCATGCTCTTCAAACTGCAATGGTCTCTCTAGATTTTTCTTTCAAGGTGTGTCATGGGTACCAGATTATCAGATAATTTTAATGTATTTATTATATAAATAATACTTGTGCATGATTAAAATTTCAAAAAATACAAAACAGAGAGCAAAACATGTTACCCTCTCCAGAAGCAACTAGTCAATAGGTTTCTTGTGTATGTTCCTAGAAATATTCTCTGCTTGTTTAAGTTCATGGGTATCTGGCTTGTCCTTTTTTCACACAGATGGTAGCACACACCTCAAATCTTCCTGCACCTTCCTTCTTATTTTATTAACCATGTATTCTTATTCAATATATTCAAAAGTTTATTTTACATCAGAACATACAGATCTTCCTCATTTTTACTTCCCATGTAGAAGTTGAAAGTATTATAATGAATGTGCATGTGCCTGACACCTAGATTTAGCACGTAGGTAAAGCTGTTTATTGCTTTATCATATGACCACCTATCCATCTTTCTATTTATCCATCAATCTATCTAAGTTTTAAAATATATTTAAAAGTTAGTTGAAGGCATACTTCACCCCTAAAGACTTCAGCGTACATACAATTAACTAAAGTTCAATATTTGTTTATAGTTCATTTTTTTCAGGTAAAATCTGAATCAGGTAAAATGAACAACTCTTGAGGACCATTAAGTGAGTTTTGACAAATGCACACACCTGTGTAATCCATCAAGATACAGACTATTTCCACTATCCCCAAAAGTTCCCTCATGCCCTTTCTTAGTTGATCCCCACCTCTAAAGTCTTGGAAGCTACCAGTGTTCTGATTTTTTAATTATAAATTAGATATTATTTCCTAGAATTTCATGTAGATGGAATAAACACAGTATATACTCATACATAAAGCTTCTTTCACTCAGAATAATGTTTTTGAGATTTACCATATTGCAGGTATCAGTACTTCATTCTTTTTTGTTGTGGTGGACTATGTCATGATATGCATATATGACTATTTGTTTAGCTGTTCTCCTATGAATGGACACTCAAGACATCTCCAGGTTTTGGCAATTGTGAATAAACTTCCTATAAACGTTCTAGTTCAAGTCTTCTTTGTAGATTTGTGCTTTCATTTTTCTTTAGTAAATAATTAGGAGAAGACTTGCTGGATCATAGGAATAGATGTATCTGGTATGATTTAGAGGTCAGAGGTCTGCTTTTCTTTCTTTTTCCTCCAATAGGTATCAAGTTGTTCCAGCACCATTTGTTGAAAAGTCTTTCTTTTTCCCGATGTATTACTCTGATGCTCTTATAAAAAATAAATGATGATATAAGCGTAGGTCTACTTATTGGATTCTCATCCCATTCCAATTTTTTTGTTCATTCTTATGCCAGTACCACACTGTCTCAGTTACTATAGCTTTATCGTGAGTCTTGAAGTCAGGTAGTCCAAGTATTCCAAGTGTGTTCTCTTTAATTATTGTTGGATATTTTAGAGTGTCAGGAGCTCAACTTAGCTGGGAGAGAACTGAGCTGCCAGGTAAGAGAGTAGCTGACTAAAGCCACAGCCAGAAATGAAAGAATTAAGCCTAATCCCTTACTGTGTTGGTATAAATGAGACTAAAAGCAGAGATGGTGCCAAAGCCCCCTGTTCCATTTCCCACATGGATCTGTGCACTGGGCAAGGGGCAGGTGGATCAATGGAGACATGAGGTCGGCTCGTGTTCAGGGAGCCCCAGACAAAAGGCTCTGGCAGCTATGGGAACTCTGGGATCGAGGGGGGAGCTCTAGGGGAAGTGGCAGGAATAGAGAAATACGGGGTACAGTATCAGAGCATAGAAAAGTGTCTTCAAGGTTTCCCTCTCCTTGCCTCACAAAGAGATCTCAGCAGAGGTGTCTGAAGAAGACGTCTGCCCAAGGTCTCAAGTAAAGAGACCAAGGAATGAAGTCTAAGGACCAGCAATGCAGACATGTGAAAGAGCATGACCAGCTGTTGCGGGAGAGAGGTCGAGTTGTTGTCCTTGACTGTAACTCCCTTCAGAGACTGCAGTGCCCGGCTGTGTGTCGAGTCTGATGTGGGAAGGGAAGCTTCCCCGCTGAGGCTGCCAGGTAGGTGTATGTGGAGTTTCGCAGCTAAAACTAAGTGAGAGGTGTTGGAAGGAGCAGGTGCACATCTTAGGAGAGGAACATGGTGTAGTGCTCTTTCTACCAGGGGCTCAATGGAGGTGATGTCAGCTGTGCTGCGGATGGTCCCAGAGAGCCCTGGAAGTGACTCACAGTGCTTAGTCCTGTTCTGTTCTCTTGTGGTGATTTTCTCAGCCAGGCAATGCTTGCTTGGGAAATAAATACCTTTAGAGAATTTGTAGGACTCAAGACACCCTAAGGTCTACTGAAGGCAAATGTTTGAGATGAGGTGTTCTGTTATCTGACGTTATTCTGTGAAGCCGTGTTTTCTCTGTTCTGGATGTTGACCTCAGAAAGGAGAGCAGTGATTCCTGCATTTTCTCAGAGAAAGAATTCACCCCTTCATTCCAGTGGGACCTCTCACAAAAACATGGCAGGATATTTCCTTCATTAGTTCCTTTGCCTTAAATGTTTTTATCCAAAGTCAGCTCAAGTGCTGTCTCTTATATGAACTTAATCCTGAATATTTTAATGCACATTGATTTCTGTTTTTCTCTGAATTCCTCTTCATACAAATTTAGCATTGAATCAAAATATGTTTTCATATGTCTGCTTTGTCTCTTTAATAGCTTTGCATGTTCCCTGCAATTTGGGATTTCTCGTATCCTTTATGTTTCTTTTGTATTCTTAGAGGAGAATAGGCTCAATGAATATTTCCTGAGTGGACAATAGATGTTTCATTCTTAAGAATAAACAGACATTTTCTCCAGATGACTGTGAGTACAGACATAGCCTAATTCTTAACACTTTCTGCATCATAGTTTATTCCTTCTCTGTTAAGAATTTTCCAATAAAACATACTTGACCATTTAGAGAACCTGGAGAAAGATTTATTTTTATCATAGTTGTCCTTATTCTTTTCTTTTTGTTGAGGAATGGTGGCCCGGAACTAACATCTGTACCCCTCTTCCTCTATTTTGTATGTGGGTCGCTGCCTCAGTGTGGCTTGACAAGTGCTGTAGGTCCACACCCAGGATCCGAACCCGTGAACCCCAGACCACAGAAGTGGAGCACTTGAACTTGACCACTACACCACGGGGCTGGCCTCAGTTTTTATTTTTCTTGACTGAATGAACAGAATTCAAATTCCACAAACTTTCTCAACAAGCACTAGGACAGTTAAGTTTATCTAAAGCTAGAGTTTAGAATGTGTGGGCGCCCTCTAGTGAATATCAGTCAAGAGCAAAGACAAGGAGCTGAGTAGCCTGTATATAGTTAAAGGTTCTAGCATAGGAACCGGAAGGAAAAACCGATATAAAAGGGTGGAGCAGGAATTCTTCAGTGTGACGCTGTGAGAGGACTGTTCTTGTTTGGGGCAGAGTATCATAACTTTAGCTTGGGGACAACACAGTTGCTCAGGTTAACGTCAGAGTCATGCCCCTCACTTGGAAAGGGGTGGTGAGTGGGGCTTGAAAACATCCCATACTTTCCTGCCAAGATGTGGGCCTGGTTTCTCCTGAGTAGCTGCCTTTCTTCTACTTGGCACAAATGTGCCACAGGAGCCAGCATGACTCAGCCCTGAGTTGGGGTCACTTCCCTCTTCCATCTGCCCTTTTTGTGTAGAGAGGATGTGGCTGTGCAGTGCTGTGGATAAGCTGCTGGCACAGAGGTACACAGATGTCTGGTTGGTGCTGGCAGGCTCCAGGATCAGGGTGAAATTCTCCTTCTTCTTTCTAGAGACACTGTACCCTTCAGGGTCATCTCCTTCCTGTTTATCGCCAACACTGTCTGAGAAATAGAGCAGCTGTAGCCCCAGAGCTGGGTCTTGTCGATACCAGAACATTGAGTTGTGGTCCATATTCTGTTGACAGTCCATCACAACTTTGTCTCCTCTTCTTTTGACCAGATATCTTTCGGTTTGCGTTACTGTTGCATCCATGAAGCCTGTCAGAGAAGGATAGAGGAGATGAAAATAGGAGCCCTGGAAGCCAGAAGAGGGAAAAATCTTCTCTCCAGGGCCTAGAAATAATAGGACAGGGGTTTGCTGCCAATTCCCTGGACTCACCTTGTCCCAGGAAACAAAAGGCCACAGCACAGAGGAGAGTGAATCCCATGGTGGATTTGAGGCAAGAATGGTCTTCTCCCGGGCCCAGGCTATAGGTTGATTGTCTATGATGTCATTGTGCCTGCCCAAATTCATGGCCCCTCAGCCATCCTCCATATTCTGGAGAGTTTAGAGTTGCTAGAGGGAAAGCCATCCCTCTTCCTTGTGACAGTGTCAGTGTGTGTGTGTGTGTGTGTGTGTGTGTGTGTGTGTGTGTGTGTATGTGGATAAAAATTAACAAAGCAGGCCTGAGATGGCTGTCTTAGAAGGAGCTGTTTGCATAATAGACCCTTGGCTTGCATCTGGGAACTTACATTTCGGGAGTCTTCCCACTGTTTAGAAACTGGTCAGTGTGGTTCACTGTGCCTGGACTGTTGCAGAAACAATGTGGTTTATGTGGAAAACCCTCTCTGCCCCTTTGACTCTGGAAGATTGGTATGTGCTGGGCACAGGGTGCCTATGTACTCAGCTGTACTAGATTTTTAGAGCTGCCATAATAAAGTACCATAGACTGGGTAACTTAGACAACAGAAATCCCTTTTCACTATTTTTCAAGCTAGCACTGTAACATCAAGGCATCAGCTGGGTTGGTTTCTTCAAGGCCTTTCTCATTGTCTTGTAGGTGGCCGTCTTCTCCCTATGTCTTCACATTGTCTTCTTTCTGTGTTTGTCTGTGTCCTAAATCTCCTCTTATAAAGGCACCAGTCGTATTGGGAAAGGATGCACCTCAATGACTGTATTTGACATTAATCAACTCTTTAAGCCCTTATCTCCAAATACAGTCACATTCTGAGGTACTGGGGGTTAGGACTTCAACATATGAATTTTCAGGGGACAGAATTCAGCCCGTACCACCAGCTGCCAAAAATAACTAAGATGCTGAGTCTCTAATGAGTTTCTCTGGGCAGAAACATTTCCATTGCTGGGGTGAGAGTGCAGGCCCTCCTGGAAGGGAAGAACATAAGGACATCACACATGGATTCCTCCAAACCCTGCTTGTGTCTTCCTGGTGGTCTGGCTGTGGATCCTCACTAGATCTGGGTAATAAACCTTAGTGTGAGCACCACAACGTGCTGAGTGTGTGAGTCCTTCGAGGGAGTCTCTGAAAGTGCATCTCCCCAAGTGGGGAATTCTACAGTTCTCTCTCCCTATCTCTCAATATTTATTTCCTTCACAGCAGTTTTAATTTGTTGTACAATATTATTCTATGACAATAATTCCTACAAGTCATGCATTGTTTAGAAGGGCAGACCTTGGAACTCGACTGCCTGGGTCTGAAACCAGGTTGTTTTAATTATTGGCTGTGACTGTACACCAATTCTGGGCCTGAGTGTCCTTATGTGTAAAATGGGACTGATGAACATACCAGCCTCACAGTGTTGTGGTCAGAAGGCAACAAGTTGATAGAAATAAACTGCTCATAACCACACATGACTGAGTATATGTAGCCATGAAAAGCACTGCTTATCTCTACCATCATCCTCTACTGGATACTAATTTGTATCAGGCAATATGTTAAAATTCTTCGCTGACAGAAGATTTCTTTTACTCAGCATCCGTATGTTAGACTTTGGGCTAAGTTTTTGTCTTTTTAGATTTACCTTCCAAAAGATTTCTGCAGGAATTGTTTTTCAGTGAATTCTAATCTACAAAAGAGAAGCTACAGTTAATATGCCTTCTTTTGCCACCATAGATGTGAAATTATCATTCAGTATCAAGCGTCCTATGCCATCTCTGTTGATTCCTTCTCCAGCTTCAGGTGACTTTTGTAATAGGCACCTCACTCAAACAGCGTCAGACGTTGCTTACCTGCTAGGAGGGAAAAGCTACAAACTCCATGCAGTTCTGACAGTAACCTTCAATTCTGTTCCCTGAATTCCTGTTGAATCTCTTAATCTGAAGTGGTCAGAAGAAACGTGTCTTCCTGTGCATTCTGGTCAACTTCTATCCTCCTGTTGACAAATAGAAATGGCAAGCAATAAGATAGATTGGAGTATATGAGGAAGCCATTTGGTGTAAACCTAATTCGGCCTGACCTTGTTTTTCCAAAAGGGCCTGACTGTGGCCATTGAGCACACATTGTATATCTGCTTTAGACGTGCACTATGGCAAGAACAAAGGCCCTTGAGATAAAGTTGCCCCTCCCCACCCCCACGGCATTTCCTTAAGGATAAGCATGTTTCCTTAGGCTAGGAACTGATTGCTGCACTCACCTTTGATCACCCAGCTCACCTGTGACCACTCAGCTGGAGACAACAGACTACCACCCTGCTGTGTTCACTGAGACAGAAGACCTACCTGCTGTGTCCATCAATCCCTGTGCCGACAGAGCAGTCTCACAACTATTGTAAAAGGGACATTTCAAGCCTATGTGAAACATCGTCTCTGGGGGTTTATAACCACTCTGTGCACCCTACTTCTTCGGTGCCCTTTCTTCCTTTGGGAAGAAAGGCCCCGGGCCATGGTCCTCGGTTTTTAGCACAGGGTGGGGGGAGGGTGGTGGTGGTGGTGAACTCTCCCAAATTTTCATTTATAGATTGGTTATGGATTATTTTCGTCAACACTGTTGTGCTTCTCTCTGCATTTGAAATGATTTGCTTTAGCATTTAGGAGATTTTATGGGATTCCTAGTAGCTCCCTGCCATCCTGAGTGCAACTTTGCATCCAAGTTGGCATCTTTTTGTTTTTAGATCTTTTTTGTGTGTGTGTGAGAAAGATCAGCCCTGAGCTAACATCTGCTGCCAATCCCCCTCCTTTTGCTGAGGAAGACTGGCCCAGAGCTAACATCCATGCCCATCTTCCTCCACTTTATATGTGGGATGCCTGCCACAGCATAGCTTGATAAGCAGTGCCATGTCCACACCTGGGATCTGAACTGGCAGATCCTGGGCTGCCGAAGCAGAAAGTGTGAACTTAACCGCTGTGCCACCTGGCTGCTTCCCTCCTTTTTTTCATATGGAAAGATTCGCCCTGAGGTAACATCTGTTTCCAGTTGTCATCTTTTTCTTTTTTCCCCTCCCCAAAGCCCCAGTGTATAGTTGTATGTTCTAGTTGTAAGTCTTTCTAGTTCCTCTGTGTGAGTTCTAACCACAGCATGGCAACTGACAGATGGGTGGTGTGGTCCGTGACTGAGAAAAGAACTCGGGCCACTGAAGCAGTGAGAAGGCCGAACTTTAAACACTAGGCTGTCAGGGCTGGCCCCAGGTTTGCACCTTGTATTGTGAGGTATCACCACTCATGTGGCTTAAAACATATACTCAGGTTTTGGCAATTGTGAATAAACTTCCTATAAACATTCTAGTTCAAGCGCTTTTTGTAGATTTATGCTTTCATTTCTCTTGATTAAATACTTATGAGTGGAACTGCTGGATAATAGGTGTAGGTGTATATTTATTTCTATAAGAAACTACTAGAATGCTTTTCAAAATGATTATACCATTTTCCGTTTTCACCAGCAATATGTGAGAGTTTTGGTGGCTAAAAATCCTCACCAATATCTGGTCTTTCCAGGCTATTTAATTTGAGTGGGAGTAGTGGTTGGTACCTCATTGTGGTTTTAATGTGCATTTCCCTGATGTCTAAAGAGGTTGAGTATCTTTTCATGGGCTTATTGACCATTCATATATATTCATTTTTGAAGTACTTGCACAAATCCTCTGTCAACTTTGAAAACACTAGTTTTAGAAAAATTAATTGTTGTTGAACTTCTTTATATATTCTTGATACTGGTCCTTTTTCAGATAGATGTTTTGTAAGTATTTTCTCCCAGTCTATGGCTTGTCCATTCATTTTCTTATGGTATCTTTTGATGAAAAGATATTTTCAATTTTCATGAGGCCTATTGTATTAATTTTCTTTTATAGTTGTTATTTTCTACATCATGTTCAAAAACAATCTTTCCGTTATGTAGAAGTTTTATGTGCTTAGCCTTTATGTTAGAGTCTCTGATACTTCTCATATTGATGTTTGTATATGGTACGATTTAGAGGTCAGAGGTCTGCTTTTCTTTCTTTTTCCTCCTATAGAGATCACGTCATTTCAGCACCATTGGTTGAAAAGTCTTTCCTTTTCCCAATGTATTGCTCCGAAGCCCTTGTCAACAATAAATGATGGTAGAAGTGTAAGTCTACTTCTTGGATTCTTATCCCATTCTGATTTTCTTTTTCTATTCGTATGTCAGGACCACACTGTCTTGATTACTGTGGCTTTATAGTGAGCCTTAAAGTCAGATAGTCCAAGTCCTACTGGGTTCTTTTTAAATATTGTTGGATATTTTAGAGTGTCAGGAGCTCAGCTTGGCTGGGAGAGAGAGCTGGGCTATCAGGTAGGAGAGTAGCTAATTAAAGCAACAGCTGAAAATGAAAGAATTAAACCTAATCTCTTACTGTGTTGGTATAAATAAGAGTCTAAAAGCAGAGACGGTGCCAAATCCCGCTGTTCCATTTCCCCATGGATCTGTGCACTGGGCAAGGGGCAGGTGGGTCAACAGAGACATGGGGTCCTCTCCCTGTTCAGGGAGCCCCAGACAAAAGGCTCTGGCAGCTCTGGGGACTCTGGGATCAACGGGGAGTTCTAGGGGCAGTTCTAGGAGTAGAGAATTATTGGCTGCTGAGTCGGAGTAGGGAAATGTGTCTTCAAGGTTTTCCCCTTCTTCCCTCACAAAGAGATCTCAGCGGAGGTGTCTGAACAAGAGCTCTGCGCAAGACCTCAGATAAAGGGACCTAGGAATGAAGTCTCAGGGCCTGAAATGCAACTAGTGAAAGAGCGTGACCAGCTGTTGAGGGAGGGAGGCTGAGTCCTTGACTGCAACTCCCTGCAGAGATGGCAGTGCCCAGGCTGTGTGCTGAGTCTGGTGTGGGGAGGAAGGATTTCTCCGCTGAGGCTGCCAGGTAGCTGTATATTTAGTTTTGTAGCTAAAACTAAGTGAAGTGAGAGGTGTTGGAAGGAGCAGGTGCCCATGTTCCTAAGAGAGGAACATGGTGTAGTGCTCTTTCTACCAGGGGCTCAACTGAGGTGGTGACAGCTGTGGGGGGATGGTCCCAGAGAGCCCTGGAAGTGACTCACAGTGCTCAGTCCTGTTCTGTTCTCTTGCGGTGATTTTCTGAGTGTGAGCAATGCTTGCTGTGGGAAATAAATAACTTTCAGGATATTGTAGGACTCCCAGACACCCTAAGGTCCGCTGAAGGCAAATGTTTGA